GTAATGATAATAGTGTATATCAGTGTACGATGGATGTCTTGCAAAGGTTATATAGAAGAAAGATCCCTCTTAAGTGTCTAGTATTTTTTTAGTAATTATTGTTGAATGCACTTTCATGTAAAAGTCTACTAATTAATCACAGTATTCAAATTGACGATATAACTTGTTGCTTTTATTATAATTTGGAAGAACTTCAAAGTCATTTGTTTTTAAAGTACTCAGTTTTGTCTTGAATATAGTACTTTACTGCGCGTTGGCTTGAGTTCTCGCTAGTTTTGTCTTCAAATTTATAGACTCACTTGCTTGTGTGGATTGATGTTGGTTGTAATAAAAAAATATATTTATTAATTGTTTGGATAAATATAATGTGATCTTTGTGATCACATAAAAATAAAAGAGTGTTTTGAATGAAAAGAAAATCTTAGATTCTATTATCATAAAGTCTTAAAAGTGACTCTCACTTTTTAATAAAAAAAAAAAATTATTAGCTAATTGGTATATAAATTCACGATATTGCATCTACTTTAGCTTAGTATAAATTTATTTTTGTCTATTTATTTCCTTGTGTAAGTATTAATTTTTTTTCTCTTTGAGTTTTCTTTAAATTATCTCTAATCATATATATTTTATTTATTAAAAAAAAAAACTAACAAGTAAAACGACGACCGACCTTGATTTGCAAGAAATTATATTTTTTAAAATAATAAATATTTTATGAGAAATGTTTTATTTTCCGAGTCAGAAAATTTCAAAACATCGTAGGACTAACTCACCCAATAAAATATATTTTTCATACATAAGAATAAAATCTGACACGTTATACATATCACTAAAATTAACCCCTTGCTAATCAAATGATTAGATTGCTAACACAAAGTAAATCTATAAAATAACAATTATTTATTTAAGTGACATAACTTCCCCTTAAAAAATAAAGGATGTCAGGTTTTTATAATTTTAGAATATAAAATTATGGAATATATAATTTCTGGCGAATTTAACGGAAGAAACAGGTGTGAACAGTAGCTACCCCTACACTCTTCCCCTAGTTGTATATAGCAGACATGAGGGCCCAGGTCATATGCCACCCCATAAATGAATTAAGATGTTGTTAAGAGAATCATGCAGTGCGAAGCCAGTGGTCAAACAAACAACAGAGTGGGGTTGACAAAAATATTGGTTCAACCCAATCACGTAGTGATAAAAATATATTAGTCCCTCTGACAGATTATATCATTTACTTTTTTTAAGTTTAATTTAATTTAATTTATTTAATTAATAGATTTAATTTATTTTTTTAATTAATTAATTAAATAAGTTAAGTTTGATTTTAAAATAAAATTTATAATAATATATTAAATAATTTTATATAAAAATTATAATATAATAATATGTTAAATTATTAAATTTTAAAATAATAAAAATTTAATTTAAAAATCCTATTTTTTTTTTGTTAGAGTTGAAAAATATTCTTATTTCATACCTCTAAGAGAGAGAATGCTATTTATTAGAGTTTTTTTGCATATACTGTATGAAAAAATATTGTTATTTATGTATTTTAGATTTTTATTTATTGCATTTGCTAATTTTAGATTTAAAACTTATTTAGTTATATTGTATTTGTTGATGTAATGTGTAAGACTTTATATTACCAGATTTGCTTAATAATTTATAAATTAATATTTATTTTATTATATTTTTTGTATGTGTAGTGATTTACTCATATAAATTACATATATAGTTTAAAAGTGATAAGTATGAATATATAATTTTATTATCTATATTGAAGGCGTTAAATCATTTTTTAATAGTTTATTTAAATATAAGCTTGTGACTTTTAAAAGATATACCTATATAAATAGTTTAAAAGTCTATTTATAAAGAAACTTAATAATTTATTAAATGTATTGATACAAAGTAGGCCATTAAAAAAATTAATAGGCCAAATTAAACTTTTAAAAAAGTCATGCTAAGTTTAATTAAAAGCTTATAACAAGTAATAAGTCAGATTTAAATTTTAAAATTATTAGACAGACTAAACTTATTTATGTAAAGTCTAATATTTTTCATCCCTACTTTCATAGTTCCGCTTCAGTTACTTCTTTTATTATCTTTCTTCTTTTAAAATATTGCTTAAAATTTTTAAAAATTATTAGACGTAATATTAAAAATAATGACAAAGATCTTTACAATTGAAATATATATGCAAAAAAATCAACGATATTTACAATGTTCAATCATAAGCACACGAGGATGATGAAATGTATATTGCTCAAATCAAAGATAATAAAAATAAACATATTTTCTCAAAGTTTCTTTATATTCATGAATTACATTTAAAAGATGGTGTTAATATTTATTATGTTTATGTGAGAACTCAGCAAATTTGTTTATAAAAGTAATGTCAGCTTTAATATTTAAGATACATGCATGACATTTGGATGCTCTAATTTAAAAAAAAAATATTAGAAGAAATAAGTTTACTTATAAATATTGTACTTTTTTGTTAGGTAAATTTTTAGCCCACTTGATTTTTTTAATAACATTTTAATAAAGCATGTTCATAATGTATAGACATTCAAAAGAGTATCATAAATCATAAATACGTATGGATGACTATTATGATAAACTTTTGTTTTATTTGGTATGATTTTTTACTTCTTAATAAATAATATATAATCATAAATTTTTCATTTTTCCCAGTTAATTCTGATTAACATACAATTAAGTATAAGTGTCAATTTTCCACCGTGCTGGGTACCCCACTTCTGAATAAAATCCGAATGTTGAGATAAATTGAACCATAACATTTGTATATATTTACAAAACACTAATGACTAAAACAAGTCCAGGCAAGAATTTGTCTAGGTACTGTCAAAGTCCCACTTTGCGGATCATATCACCCATATAATGAGAAAACGTGTAGTCTTCATATAAGGCGAATCCAGCCTCCAACTCAGAAATGATTGGGCAACAATGTAATTTGGTTGAGTGTTTGCCAACCTAGATGGCTATACATCAGAGGAATGACAGTGCAGTGCTTAATCGTACAAAGAATATTATGCTATGGAATCACACTAGAAAATCAAACATTACTGCGTGCATGCATGTGATCTGCTTAGTAACGCAACTTCGAATGTTGGGGCAGAAATATGGGGTCGTTACTAATATTTGCTTTAAAAAGATATTTGAGACAACATATATAGTCTTGATGCACCAACCTTTGTGTGCTCTGATAATCAAGCTTTAGAGAGTGTTCACAATCTTTTCTTAAAGAAACTATAACTTGAGTGACATAACCTTTTTATATTAACCCCCATTGTTGGTAATCCTTTCTAAAGATTAGCTACTACATCTTTGTATAAAAAAAATTAAGTTTGAAAGAGTGTACAGCTTTTATATGCAGATAGTTATTTGTCTCATTATATTATTTCAATAAAAAATATATATTTTTAAGATTGATTTGAGTAACAAATATTTTAATATTGTTTAAGTAAAATTTTAGATTTGAGTATTTGTATATATAAAAAAAATTTAAAAAATAAAAAATTATATATGTAATTTTTTTAATTGTTTAAAAAAAATTCTTATGTAAAAAAAAAAAAAACAGATATTGTTGATTTATCACAGTCGAGCTGTAAAGCTATGGTCCGTTAGTTTCTAACGGGACAAATACCCGTGCTCTCTGAATTTGGAAAAGTTAAGCATAGTACTATTCACGCCGTCGGATTTGAAGTATGATAAAATGCATGATGTGTACCATGTATTATATAAATTGTTTAGCTATAGCAAAGTCCACTTTCAATTGAAGTAATTCATAAAATGTTACTAGCATATCTACCGCCATGCAGACCACAAAGTCCTAGTTCACAATTTTTTTTTTAAACATATGCAAATTAATAAGAATATTCCATAAAGCCGTAAAGATAGCTATTGAAATAAAAAAGCCACAAATATTACAACTATCTTAAAAATTTAAAATTTTTAACACTGTTATTTTATTTTATGTTATTATATTAATAAATAATATAATAATTGTATCTACGGTATATTTTAGTTAGTTAACAGTTTAAAAATTATTACACTATCGTTATGTAAAAATTAATTTCTTATCTTAATTATTAGCCTTCAACTATTGAAGTTGGCTATATTCTTCCTATGAAGATTCTTCATTTTTGGAGTTCAAGGAGGAAAAAAGGGAGACAAAGCAAACAAATATAAAGAAAATGTTAGAGACACTGCTACTTGTTAACTAAAATTTATTAAAAATTATATTAATTTAATGATTTGTTTCTTATTTTTTATGCAAATCATTAAAAAAATATGTTTTTAACATTTCACCGTGTGTAAATTGTAGTGTATCTATTACCCTGTAATTTTTGGTCGAATATGGCCACTAGCACTGTGTTAGGCCTTTATTTTAATATGGTCCAAGTTGGGCTTTTATTATATCACGACTGTGTTGGTTTTGGACCTGCCGGTTTAAATTTATAGATCATTCTGGATCATGTTTATATATATTCCAGGCCCGATAAAAGAATTTATTTTTAAATGAATATACCAGCTAGTTTTAATAAACATTTTCTTCGTACTGTTTTTATCTTATGCAAATTAATTTCTGATAAAATTTTTTTTAGTAAATTAATAATTTAATTTCTATCAATAAAAAGTTGTCACTGAAAAGGGGAACATAACAATTTTCTTAAATTAAATTAAAAAAGAGTACAACATATTTTTTAATTTTAAATTAAAATAATTATATATAATTTATAATATCAAACATATTATTAATAAATTTGTGTCAATATATTATTTTATATTTATTTAAAATATAAAGTTTATTCTATTCTATTTTTTTTCTAGAAGGCTTTTTTAATTAAAAAAACTAATTTTTAGAACACAAAAAATAAAAAATATATTAATAGGAAATGATATATAAAAATATTTTTTTACTCACTCTTTTGTTGACCTAAATAAACAAGAATTCTCCGATCTTCACTATGGCTTGTTGATAAGGTTGTATATATAAAGCTGGGCCATTAAAATGCGAACATGAAGAAAATGTTAGCAGCAAATCACACGCGTCAAAGCCTCTCTCCTTCTCTGCCACAACCGCCGTCTCTTCCTGCGGAACACTTCAACATCCTCCTCCGTCGGCGTCACCTTCTCACCACCACTGCATTCACCATTTCCTTCAATTTCAATGTCCCTTTTACAACCTCCCTCTCCACGTCAGAGCCGGTAGCCGGTGCCCGTGGCCTCTTCCAGATGCCCCCACCGCGCCTCACCAACCGGTAACCTCTTGCTCCTGTGTGAGTGCAAGCAAACGTGTTATTATGTTATAGCAATTAATAATATCAGCCCTATAGTTATAAATTAGACAGTGTATAAAATCATTATGTTCTAATTTTCGTACGATTGCTTTTTATATCTTAATATTTAGTCTTATAAGACGGATAATAAAAAATATAGTTCACAGGTATGTTTTTAACAGTATTATAAAAAACGTAACTAATGTAATTTATTTAGGCAGAAAAATTAATTGGAAAATGAATCTCCATTATACAGACCAATTGTATTTTAATCATAAAATAATACTAATCAATGCATGTATTAGTCTTATGTTGATGTGGTGTGGGAAGGTATTTTCTGGTTCGGGCGGGTGAGTCTGAGTTCGAGAGCATGGGAGTGATCAACACCAACCCCGTGACCAAGACATCTGTGGATAGCGGGTTATCTAAAAGAGGGAAGAAAGAGGCCATAAGAGCAGCTTTTGGTTTGAAAGAAATGGGTGCATGTGAGAAGAACTGTTGGATATGGCCTGCTATAACTCAGAGAGCTTACCAAACAGCTGAGATCATTGCTTCTGTTAATGGAGTTACTCGTAGGTTTGTTTTTCTCACAAACTTATTTACCCCAACGTACCCCATTTCCCAAAACCTTACCTTTCTTTTATGTTTCAGCTATATAGTCCCTGAATACAGCTTTCTGGATGCCCGTGGATTAGGCGCTTATGAAGGACAAAAATTGGAATCTGTTTCACAAGTACCATTTCTCTCCGTCACTCCCTCTCCTAGCTAAGTGGAACATATGCATATTGAATTATGTTAAGAATGGTGCAGGTGTATGAATCAGATGGTATATCTCCCAACATCAAACCTCCTCCCATTGATGATGGAACTCCAAATGAGAGTGTTGCAGATGTTTTTGTTCGTGTAACGCAGCTCATGTCAATTCTTGAGACTCAGTACTCTGGTGACACAGTTATTATAGTCTCGCCAGATTCTGACAACTTGACAATCCTTCTCGCTGGTTTGATAGGACTAGACCTGCGAAGGTAACTGCATAACTGAAGCTAAAGCTATAACTATGTGCATGGTTTTAATTATAGCTTCAATTTGGAAATTAATATTGGTTACTTAGTCATCTCTTTTTTGTTGCTGCTCTTGAATTTCAGGCACAGGGATCTGGCTTTTGCACCTGGTGAAGTCCGCTTTGTTGATACCAAAGACATTCCTAAATATAAGCAGCCTGCATCTGCTGTATATAAATGTTCGAACCCACCAAAGTGTTACTAGTTTTCCTTCGTTCAAGGTATAGCGGGAAAGTGGATATTCATCAAGTGAAAGCCTAAAGATCAATTTGAATTTTGTTAAAGAGATTATTAGGGCCTTGGGGTATCGTTGTCGTGTATTATATTATGGATTAAATAAGACTCTCTTTGTATCTATATACTTCCACGTTGAAACATTTAAAGGTTAAGAATGCGAAGAGAATTTAACAACCAAACCATGGTACCCAATTAGATTAGCATCTAGTTGATTTGTTTCATGGAAGGAAATTAAATAGGTAATAACTTTGGTTGAAACTTTAAAGAATTTTTTTCTGGCTTTCAATTTCTAGGGTGAATATGATTCATTCAGTCGGCAAGAAAAATCATTCAAAATACTAAACACCCTACATACGTTGAGAACATATATGCAGGGGAAGAACGAGTAGTGTGTTCCTGCATAATCGAGAAAGGAGAATTATGTAACCGATAGATCAGTTAAAAGAAAAAACTCCTCTTAGTGGTGTATTAAGGAGAAAAAATAAAGGAAATATCTAATGGAGAATTGAGGAAATCCAAAATATCATAATACTCATACAATGTACAAGAAACCGTTCAGTTCCCGGAGAGCATGACATACCGTCTAATGAATAACGGAATATATTCCAACTAACTTGATTAACTGTCATCATTTATCAATGTAGAGCAGAGTCCCTTTCCAGAGAACATGAACCCTTTCCAGATGACACTGGAAGAAGGGTTTAACGCTGGTGACACCCCCTAAAAAACTAACTGAATGCTGCTATCCGAATAACTGCTAAAGAAACAAGAAGAAATCTATTTCTATATGGCTCTATTGTATGAATATTTCAAAATTATGAATGACAAATGTTTTCCACTTTTTCTTTTGATTTAGTGATTTCCATTTCTACCAAGAGCTGCATTATTAAAAGATGAACTATTTTCTTTCACATCTCACATGTCTATTCCATTTTTTTTTATGCTGTGACAACGCTTTACAATAATGTAGACTCGTCTTTCATGAAAACAAAAGAAGAATCGACAGCTACTTTATAAATGAAAACAGCTAAAAAAAGTTATTAATTTAATATATAGATCTATAATAATGTGATAAAAAGAATAAATATAAATATTATTACACATTCGCTTAATTGATTATTATATTTTTAGAAGTCATAAGTTCTATCCTATATCCAAAAAGATTAAAGAATTGTTTTAATCTGTTAGAATCGTTAGCATTTATTATATTAATTATTTTAGTAAAATGAGCTTTTCAAGTTTATAACAAGGAACTTAGTTAGATTCTTTCCCATCAGCTTAGATTTATCCTTAGTAAAGATGAGAGAATAATTTGTTTTCTAAAATAATAGTTATATTGTATTGTTAGACTTTTACCCTGTTACAAGGTCGTTGGACAAATATAAAATTAACTAAAGGAATAAAAAAATGAATAAACTTTCATATGTATAATCATTTAATCATGTTAGTGAATAGTAAAATATTAATATTTTATATAAAATATTTGATTTAGATAAATTTGTTTTCATTTGAATATATATATATATATATATATATATATATATATATATATATTCATTCTTGAAAAAACTTGTGTTTAGTGTATGTCCTTAACCTTTTAAAAATGAATGACTTTACCTCCAGTAAGTTGTTGTTAAGTATCAATACTTTTATTAAATATTAAATTGGCTAACAATAATATACCCCTACATTATTATGTGTATTCTAATCATTAATATTATTGTCTAAATGTAATTATAATCCTTAGAAATATTTTAAAATTTGATTTTAGTTCCTAAAATTATTTTAGTTTGGTTTGTTATTTTTTTTAAAATGAATAATTCAGCGTAAGTTATTTAGTGACTTTTGTTGAATATTAAGTTGATTAATTGTAATTCACATTATCGGTGTCACTATGTTCTGGCTAATGTGTTACATATAGTTTCTTCTCCTACTCTTTTTTTTTTTTTCTGCTACTTTCTTTTATTTTATTTTTTTGCTTCTTTCTTAACTTGCTGTCCACCTCTTGTGCGTTTCCCATTCTCATATATCGCGCGTTACCACATCACTGTCGCCTTAGAAGGAGGGGTTAAAATTATTTACTTTTAAATTGTTATGGACCTAAACAAAATAAAAAATAAATAAAAAATTCAAGAACTGAAACTAAATCTGAGATATTTACAAAGATAAAAAAATAATAATTAAGTAATGACATAGCAATTATTAAAATGCATGTGATAATATTGAGTTGATGAATTATAAGTAATCTCTATATTTGAAGCAATTAAAAAAAGAAACAACTTATTTAATCTTATATTATGTTATGAAACTTGGTCTAACTCAGTTTTAGAAGCTAGTTTATAGTTGGAGGATTATCTTATTTATTTCTATTCTAGTCCTATTTCTAAACAATGTAAGGCATCCGTAACAAACTTTGTGTAATATTATTTAATCAGGTGTTGACATCGATACTCCCAAACCAGAACTATTATAAATGATTCAATATGAGGGCGTGGCAAGTAAGAGGAAACATAGAATGTTGTGTTGAAATTTTAAACAATGAGCAATTCAAGATACAAACTATAGCATGCATTAAATTGGTTTAGGGTTTAGGGTTTAGCATGCATTAAATTGGTTTTTGGTTTAGGATTACATACCTGGAATTAATCCTTCATTTATCTCAAATTTGATGTGTCTTTGGTATAGGAAAAAATGAGAGGATAACTGCAAGAAATTGAGAGTGTTCTGCTCTCTGCATGAGAAGTTATCAGAAGTTACGAAAAATGATCATGCGTATAGGTTAGTGCTTCGTGGGATAACATATAACCAACTTCCTAGATAAGACCAGGGGCCTCTCAATGGGCTTATTAAATAACCCGACCCATCACGGTTTATTAAAAGAATAACCCAAAGTAATATTATCCATCAATTGGTCAATAAATAAAATATAATTAAATAACAATAATAATATAATAATAATAATTGATATTATAAATTATAAATAATTGATTATGTCAATCCATAATAATAATAATAATCACCTAACAATCTCCTACTTGGATGATATAAATCAATATATGTGTCACTTACAACGCTGTAGAAAATATCATATCAATATATCAATTATTATATGAATATTATTTGACCAAATCAGCAGAAGATATAAGCCATGAAAGTGTAAATAAAATATCCGATAAGGATATCATATATGTGTCACGTGCTTATACTTCATATGAAGGGTGATGGATATAAAGAAATGCATAACATTTTATTCAATTTAAAATGCAATTCCAAAGAATGGTCCAAGCATTTAGAAATGCTATATATGAGATATGACAATAAAATAACGTCGTCTCAAACATACCTCACAATGATTAAAGTGGAAAAAAAGAATTCAGACTCCTACTAACCCAAAACATCAAAAGATTCAACTACACTCATGTGGGCTACATGACTTTTGAATATTCCAACATTTAAGCCTTTGGTTAGTGGATCAACTAACATCTTCTCTGCGGAGATGTGCATAATCTTAGTCTGAAATTCTGAAACCTTCTATCTAACAAACATATATTTTATGTCAAAATGCTTTGAACGAGAGAAGCTTTTGTTATTTTGAGAGAAGTGTACAACGACAGAATTATCGCAATATAGCACAAGTGGCCTAGATATACTTTCAATGACTTGGAGTCCATAAATCAAGTTCTTGAGCCACATGGCTTAGCAAGTAGCTTCGTAGCAAGCGATATATTCTACTTCCATGGTAGAGGTAGTTATAAGCGTTTGTTTCACACTCTTCTAAGAAATAGCTCCTCCTGCCATCATGAAGATACAGTCGGATGTAGATTTTCGATCATCAAGACAATCTGCAAAATCAGAATCAGAATAACCAATGACCTGAAGTTGATTAGACTTCTTATAGGTCAACATGTGATCTTTTGTGCCCTGCAAGTACCTCATGACCTTCTTTGCGGCTCAAACTTGGGTCGCTCAAGTATCTTCCTAAAGCATTGACAGCAAAAACAATGTCAGGACGAGTACAAACTTGAGCATACATTAAACTGCCAATAGCAGAAGCATATGCGACTTTCTTCATTTTAGCTCTTTCATTGTCATTTTGAGGACATTGAGATTCAGAAAGTTTGTCCTCCTTTTGAACAGGTGCAACACATGGGGAACAAAAATGCATGTTAAACAATTTGAGGATTCTATCAATGTATCCTCTCTGAGATAATCGAAGGACATCACTTGACCTATCACGATAAATTTGTATGTCTAGAACAACAAAGGCATCAACTAGGTCCTTCATATCAAAGTGGTTAGTCAACATTGACTTTGTCTTAGTCAAAAGTTTAACACAACTACTTGCCAAAAGAATATCATCAACATAAAGCACAAGAATGATAAAATTTCTCCCACTAGTTTTCAGATAAACACATTGATCTGAAGCATTTTCCTTGAAACCAAGAGAATTGACCACCTGATTAAATTTTAAGTACCATTGTCTAGATGCCTGCTTCAATCCATAAATGGATTTTTTAAGTTTGCAAACTAAGTTTTTTTTGCCAATTTTAGCAAAGCCATCAGGCTAAACCATATAGACATCTTCATGTAAATCTCTATTCATGAATTCTGTTTTCACATCCATCTGGTGAAGTTCTAAATTAAAGTGTGCCGTCAAAGCCATAATAACTCGGAAAGCATCTTTAGTAGATACCGGTGAGAAAGTCTCTTTATAGTCAATACACTCTCTCTGACTATAGCCTTTGGCTACTAGTCTGGCTTTGTACCTTTCAATTTCACCATCTGGATTACGTTTGGTCCATTTGCATCCAACTGACTTGCAACCAACTGGTAACTCAACAAGATTTCAAACACCATTATATGCCATAGAGGCTAATTCATCATGCATGGCATTTAGCCAATAAGAAGCATCAGAGTAAGAGATAGCCTCTTCAAAAGAAATAGGATCATCAACATCATTGAAATTGAATTCATGTTCCTGGAGATAAACAATGTAGTCATCAGGTATTGAAGACCCGCGCGCTCTTTGAGATCTTCTCAAAGGAACCTCTTCATCTTGTTCCTGTTCATTCATGAAAGGAGCTACTATATCTTCGTCTTGAAGATTTTGATCAGGAACAATAGGAACGACAATATTTGATGACATAGGAATTGTAACCCTGTCCTCCCTAAGGATGATTGGCTGTGTTGTTTGACTCCCACTATCCAAGACATCTTCAAAGAATACAGCACGATCGGATTCAATAACTCGAGTAGAGTGAGAGTACAATAGAATCTGTTGCCACGAGAACCAATGCAATAGCCAATGAAAAAACTACTGATAGTTTTTGGATCAAGCTTCTTCAACTGAGGATTATAAGGTCTTATCTCTGCCTTACAACCCTATACATGTATATGCTTCAAGGTCGGCTTCTTTCCAGTCATAAGCTCATAAGGAGTCTTAGATACAGATTTGCTGGGTACTTGATTGAGAATATACACAACAGTCCAGAAGGCATCTACCCAAGGAAAGATTGGTAGGGAGGAATGGCTCAACATACATCTCACTATGTCAAGAAGTGTCATATTCCTTCTCTCTACAACTCCATTTTGCTCAGGTGTGCATGACATAGTATATTGGGCTTCAATGCCACATTCTTTAAGATATCTTGCAAAAGGTCCAGGGTTTCTACCTGTTTCATCGTGTCTTCCATAATATTCTCTTCCTCTGTCAGACCTTACACATTTGATATTTTTTTTTTCCCTTTTCAATTCAATAACAGCTTTAAAAGATTCAAAAGCATTTAGAGATCCAGATTTCTCCTGAAGGAGTTCTATCTATCCAAACCTGGAGAAATCATCAATAAATGTGATACCTATATCCACCCAAAGTAGCAGGTGTCATAGGCCTACACATATCAGTGTGAATAAACTGTAACACATCATCACACCTACCAGAAGTTTTATTTCTGACTTTGGCAGAGAACTTGCCTTTAATGTAATTAATACAAGTGTCAAAATCAGAAAAGTCTATATTATTAAGAATACCTTCTTTGATTAATCTTTGAATCTGAGGCTTAGAAATATGCCCTAGACGTCTATGCCATAACATAGAAAAGTTCTTATCAATCCTACCACGTTTTTGTCTAATAACAGAATTAGCAATCATGTTACTCAAGGTTAACATATATAGCCCATCACACAGAACTCCGGAAGCGACAACAATGGAATTGAAAGAAACAACTAGTTTTTCATTACTAAAAGTAAAAGAATAATTGTCCTTATCCAAGGCAGAAACTGAAATCAAATTCCTTCTAATGTGAGGTATATAAACAGCATCCTTTAACACCAAAACATGTCTAGACGGTAAACATAAAGAAACTACTCCTATGTCTTTCATAACTGCTTTAGCTCCATCTCCCATGATAATCTTGGATTCTGCATCATTTGGCTTCCTCAGGCTTGTGAATCCTTATAAAGAATTCACAACGTGAATAGTGGCACCCGAGTCTAGCCACCAAGAATGGGGAGGAATATCAATGGTATTAGATTCAAAACATGCTAGATCTAGAGGAATACCTTGTTTCTCAAGTTTCTTCTTTACGAAAAAACAATCATCTACCTTGTGACCATACTTCTTGTAGTATTTGCAGCTCCCTTTAAAGGAATTTTTCTTGAGTCCTAAAGTGACAGGTGCTTTCCCTTTTTTATCCTTCTCAACATGAGTTTTAAAACGAGGCTTTCCCTTATAACCTCCTTTTGTCTTATTCTTAGCACCAAAAGAGGAAGTAGCAAACTGAATAGTGTGAGACTTAGTCTTCTTCATATTTTCTTCTTCTTGAGTAACAATGGCAATCACGTCATCTATCTTCCATTCTAGCTGCTTATATGCATGGTAGGATGTTTTCAACATGTCAAACTGAGAGGGGAGAGAATCTAGAATCTTCCAAATTAAATAGTCATCACCAAGATCCACTTTCAGTGTTTTCAGTTTGTTGTAATAATGGACCTGCTTCATTAGATGCTCACGTACTCCACTAACACCATCATACATGGTCTTCTCAAGTAAAGACAAGTACTGACCCTTTACTGCTTTGTCATAGGTTTGAAATTTATCCCCAACAGATTTCAAAAAATCTTTATCATTATTGCTTTCTTGGTTGTCTGATAGACTTTCCATTGTATACTTCATGACTATAAGACAGACCCTATTAGAGTGTTTCCACTTCTCTCGAGAGGTCTTATGGGCAGTAGTGGATTCAGCAGTGAGAGTTGGAGGCTCATTTTCTCTTAGGGCTAAGTCCATGTTGGTGATAGCAAGATAGAGATCCAAGGACTTTTTTCAATCCTCATAGTTTGTTCCATTCAGAGTTTTGACCGAAGTCAATTGCATAGGCAAAGAGGCTGGAATCAAACAAGATAAGGAATCATTTAATATGCACGATCAGTCATGCAAAAGAGAGTTAAATGATCCTGTATTCACAACCAGAATATGCCTTAATAATAAAATTTCTCAATTATTATAGTTCTACCTAAGGGTTTTGAACTATAATAAATAAGAAATTTTATAACAATATAATATACAAGCTTATGACACTAGAAAAATAACATCGATAAGATATTAGCAAATAATTGAAACAAGCAAAATAGAAATGCATTGTATTTATATGTCAATCACATCAATAATAATATATCGATAGGATATAATTATTAATAATGCACCATTAAATTTATAATGAGATAAACCATATATTTTAAATATATTCCATATAATTGTAATCCACGATAGGTGGACTAGAATCACACAAAATGACAATAATTATCATGCCCAAATATCATGAAAATTTTGTGATGCCGTAAAAGTGTATATTAATTAATATCAGTAGGCATGCTTCAATACTTATAAGGATCTAACAAATTAAATTTCTTGTGCAACATGCCGACAAAGAGATTACATAACATAATAATGTCAGATATAGGATGAATATCATGCACAAAATTTCAGACTGAAATACTAAGAATACGACATAATTTAATCAATTTAAATTTTGATATTAATAATAAATATTTGCAGCATTTTAAAATCTGGAAAATGTCAAACTAATAAAATTTGGAATTGATATTTATAAAGGGATTATACCCTTTTAAATTATTTATCATTTGGTTAATACTATATAAAATTTTATAAGACACGTGAATACTATGTTTTATAAGATTAGAAAAATTAAGCACATAATCAAGCACGTTGGTGCAGTTTTCAATTTTCTGAATTCCGAGAGTGGAGGTTAGTTTTTAATTTTACCGAAGTAGTGGTGCAGGTTTCTATTATTCATGAATAAAGGTTAGTGATGCGGTTTTCAATAAGATTCATTATTGTTTTCAATTTTGAAAAGCCTTAATCCTTTCATGTAGAAGCAGTATCTTTATGCGCTGACTCGACATTTAAAACTTACGAAATCAAACACAGTGGCATTGTTAAAGGCGTAATCAAAATATGGCACGTCGTCTAAAACTCAAAATATGTGTGACCTTTTATAAGAAAATTTTATATCTTTTATTTTAGAGGGATTACGATTGCGTTTAAAATCAAATTTTCATACCAGTCTGTTATCAAGAAACTACGGGAAATTTTTGGTTAGGGTTTTAAGCAAATTACAGAATACATAAAAGCAACTATAATTCATATCTTAACCCAGCTCTGATACCAATTGTTGAAATTTTAAACAATGAGCAATTTAAGATACAAACTATAGCATGCATTAAATTAGTTTTTGATTTCAGATTACATACCCGGAACTAATCCTTCATCCATCTCAAATTTGATGTATCTCTGGTATAAGAAAAGATGAGAGGATAACCGCAAGAAATTGAGAGTGTTTTGCTCTCTGTCTGGGAAGTTATCAGAAGTTACAAAGAATGATCATGCGTATGGGTTAGTGCTTGATGGGATAACATATAACCAACTTCCTAGATGAGACCAGATACCTCTCAATGGGCTTATTAAATAACCCGATGTTAGTTAGTTAGTTTTAAAGTTTTTAATGTTTTAAATAAATCTCCTATTTTATAGGGAGAACCAGTCTTTATTCAGTTGCAGGATTTTTCTCCTATATTAGTGCCATTTTTCATTGTATATCTGTAACTGTCATGCATTATGTTGCAGTTCAGTTTTTGTGTGTAAAGGCTTATATAAGCCTCACGTTTCCTTTGAATAAAACACTCTCTTAGAGCAAATATTTTTTACGAACATACCTTGTTCTCAACAATTGGTATCAAAGCTCCATAAGGGGCCTAATATAGAGTGTGCACGAGTGAAAACAGTGTGAGAGAGTGTGCAAAGTTCAGAGTGAGTATAGAGAAGAGTGAGTACAAAGGATGTCTGAAAAGTTTGTGCAACTAGTCATCCCAAGGTTTGATGGCCACTATGATTTCTGGGCCATGACCATGGAAAACTTTCTACGAAGCAAAGAATTATGGCCGCTTGTAGAGGAGGGGATTCCAAATCTTGGAAACACGACGACGGAAGCATAGTGGAAGAGTGTGTCCGAGGCCAACCTTAAATATCTGAAGGTGAAGAACTACTTGTTTCAAGCTATTGATAGGGAAATTCTTGAAACTATATTGGACAAGAGCACGTCACAGGCCATATGGCAGTCCATGCAACAAAAATATCAGAGATCCACAAGAGTCAAGCGCGCTCAGCTTCAAGCATTGAGTCGTGAATTTGAGTTACTGGGAATGAAAGAGGGTGAGAAAGTGGACACCTATCTAGGACGTACGCTCAGCATTGTTAATAAGATGAAATCCAATGGTGAAGTGATAAACACAAGCATGGTGGTTAGCAAAATTCTCAGATCATTAACTCCAAAGTTTAACTACGTTGTGTGTTCAATTGAGGAATCCAATGATTTGAGTATCCTTAACCTTGATAAACTTCATGGCAGCCTACTTATTTATGAACAAAGGATGCAAGACTGTCAACCCAATGAGCAGGTGCTGAAAATCGTTCATGATGATAGATCAGCAGCTGGTCGAGGCCGCGGCAGAAGTGGTCGTGGATGTGGACGACACACGTTGAATAAAGCACTCATTGAGTGCTTTCACTATCACAAGTTAGGTCATTATCAATATGAGTGTCCTGAGTTGGAGAAAAAGGCTCATTATGCATCATTTGAAGAAGCAGCAGAGGCAGAGGAAGGATTTTTGCTAGTTGCATATGAGGAAACACAAACTGTACAGAAGGAGGATTGGTTCCTAGACTCCGGTTGCAGCAATCACATGACCGGAAATAAGCTGTGGTTCACAGAAATACAAAAAGAAGGAATTAATCGAATGGTCAAACTTGGCAATGATTTAACTTTGGCTGTCACTATAAAAGGGAGTGTTTGAGTTGAGATTAATGGTACCCCTCATGTTATATCAGATATCTATTATGTGCCTAAACTTAAGACTAATCTCTTGAGCTTAGGACAACTACAAGAGAAGGGTTTTTCTATTCTAATTCAAAACGGCATGTGCAAAGTTTTTCATCCAGAGCGATGCCTCATTTTGCAGATCAATATGAAGGGAAACCGAATGTTCTATCTATCGGCTTCATTACATTCCCGCTGCCTTCAAACTAAAGAAATTTCAGAAACGAAAATGCACTTATGGCATCGACGATTTGGACATCTTAACTTCAAAGGTCTTGGTACACTTGCAAGTAAGTAGATGGTGATTGGACTACCACCTTTGAAACCACCCAAAGAAATCTGCACTACATGTCTGGTAGGTAAATAGCACAGAGATACCTTACCAAAGCATAGAACGTGGCGAGCCTCCACAAAAATTCAGCTGATTCATGCTGACATTTGTGGTCCCATCTCACTGTCCTCTCATAGTAACAAAAGGTACATTCTAAGCTTTATTGATGACTATTCATGGAAAGCTTGGGTTTATTCTTACATAAGAAATTTGAAGCACTTACTGTTTTCAAAAGCTTCAAAATCTGTGTTGAGAAGGAAGCTGGTGCCTTCATCACTTGCCTTAGAACTGATAGAGGTGGAGAGTTCACCTTTAAGAAATTCGTTGATTTCTGCACTCAACAAGATATATCCAGGCAATTGACAGCTACCTACACTCCACAGCAAAATGGAGTTGCTGAACGGAAAAATCGCACCATTATGAATGCGGTGCGTGCTGTTTTACATGAAAAATAGGTTCCCCAAACCTTTTTGGTCTGAGGTAGTACGGTGGTGTGTGCATGTTCAAAACAGAAGCCCTACATCTGCTATAGATCATCAAACACTGGAAGACATATGGAGTGGATCAAAACCATGTGTTGATTACTTTCGAATGTTTGGATGTATTGCACATGCTCACATTCCAAATCAAAATAGAAGAAAGCTGGAGGATTAAAGTCAGAAGTGTGTTTTCTTGGAGGTAAGTGATGAATCTAAGGCCTACAAATTGTTTAATCCCGTTACAAAAAAGGTTATAGTCAGTAGGGATGTTGTATTTGAAGAAGAGAAAAGTTGGAATTGACAAGATGACTCTGAGAGAAATAAGATTGATGTTCTTGATTGGGAAGACAAAGTGATTAGAGAAGATGATAATTCTGAATGTGAGCATGCATCACAGGAAGTAACATTCAACAATGATGCAGATCAAAGCATATCAGAATCAATCTCTGAACAAATTGAATCTCCAGTTGCAAGGAGGGCAACTAGGATCCGAAGACCACCTACGTGGATGACTGACTATGAAACAAATCTGTTAGTGGAAGAGGATGACGAATTGCTAGCAATGATGTTGACCGAATCTGCAGATCCCCACACCTTTGAAGAGGCATGTACAAGTCAACAGTGGAGAGAAGCTATGAAGGTTGAAATGGAGGCCATTGAGAAAAATAATACATGGCAGCTTGTAGATCCACCAGCAGAGGTTACGCCTATTGGCATTAAATGGGTTTTCAAGACCAAATTCAATGAAAATGGTCATGTAGAGAAGTATAAAGCCAGATTGGTGGCCAAAGGTTATGCTCAAAGATATGGAATAGACTATACCGAGGTGTTTGCACTAGTTGCTAGACTTGATACAGTGAGATTGCTGTTAGCGTTAGCTGCTCAGAGTGCATGGGATGTATTTCAGCTTGATGTAAAGAGTGCATTCTTACATGGTGATCTTCAAGAAGAGGTATATGTTCAATAGTCGGAAGGTTTCGTCCAGAAAGGCAGAGAGACTCAAGTTTACCAACTTCAGAAAGCTCTAGATGGGCTCAAGCAGGCCCCACGAGCTTGGTACAACAAAATTGAAGCTTATTTTGTCAAAGAACGGTTTAACTGATGTTCCAGTAACACACCTTGTTCACCAAAAAAATTTAGGGTAATATTTTAATAGTCAATCTTTATGTTGATGACTTGCTCTTTGCTGGAAACAGTAAACACATGTGTGAAGAATTTAAAAGCTCAATGAAGATGGAATTTGATATGACTGATCTTGGCAAAATGAGATACTTTCTTGGAATAGAAGTTGTACAAAGCAATGCAGGGATTTTTATCTGTCAAAGACGATATGCTCGGGAGATATTGGCTCAGTTCAATATGACAGAAAGCAATTCAGTGCAGAATCCCATTGTACCAGGAACAACACTATCTAGAGATGAGGAAGGGGCTTCAACAAATGCTACAGAGTTTAAACAGACAATTGGTAGTCTCATGTATCTCACAGTTACTCGGCCAAACTTAATGTATAGGGTAAGCCTAATCAGTAGATATATGGCAAATCCAAAAGAATCACATTGGGCTGCAGCAAAAAGAATCTTAAGATATCTCAAAGGCACTATTGAGTATGGTATCTTCTACCGACAGGGAAGAAAGGCTGGTCTTACAGCCTACAGTGACAGCAATTATGCAGGAGACTTAGATGATAGAAGAAGCACTTCCAGTTCAGTTTTCTTAATAGGCACTGGAGCTGTCTCATAGGCCTCAAAGAAACAACTCGTGGTGAGCTTATCTACAACTGAGGCAGAGTACATTGCTGCAGCATTCTGCGCATGTCAGTGCATTTGGCTTCGCAAAATTTTGGAACAACTCGGATCAAAAGAAAACGTTGCAACATAAATCCTATGTGACAATAGTTCTACTATTCAGTTGTCCAAGAATCCTGTCTTCCATGGAAGGAGTAAGCATATTGTATAAGATTTCATTTTCTTAGAGATTTAGTTAAAGATCAAGTTGTTTGTCTCAATTATTGTTGCTCTGAAGAAAACAATTAGCTAACATAATGACCAAAGCATTGAAGCTTGAGCAGTTTGAAAGATTTCATCGCATGCTTGAAGTTGTGGAAATCAATGAAGTAAGCTAAAATGCAGCACTGCATATAGCTTAAGGGAGAGAATGTTAGTTAGTTTGTTTTAAAGTTTTTAATGTTTTAAATAAATCTCCTATTTTATAGGGAGAACTAGTCTTTATTCAGTTGCATGATTTTTCTCCTACATTAGTGCCATTTTTTATTGTATATTTATAATTATTATGCATTATGCTGCAGTTTAGTTTTTGTGTGTAAAGACTTATATAAGTCTCACGTTTCCTTTGAATAAAACACTCTTTTAGAGCAAATATTTTTTACGAACATACCTTGTTCTCAACACCTGACCTATCATAGTTTATTAAAAAAATAATCCAAAGTAATATTATTTATCAATTGGTCAATAAATAAAATATAATTAAATAATAATAATAATATAATAATAATAATAATTGATATTATAAATTATAAATAATTGATTATGTCAATTCATAATAATAATAATTTAACATGTTTATTTTCTTACCAAATAGAGCATTATTCCTTCATGTTTGTAGCAAAGACTGCAACAAAAAAAGGGCAAAAGTTTGCACCCTTTAGCATTGAAGTCCCAAAAACACGGAGCGGTTTTCTTTCTCTATGATTTTTTTTCTTTATAATATTTTCATTCTTCCTTGTGGACCATATTACACCTCAAACTCTGATTCTGAAATGTTTGCGGTCAAAATCTGATTTTGATGGTAAGTTTTCTTGTTTATACAATGGGAACCTTATGGCTGATCATGACAGTACTTGATTGCGACCCCTTCATGATTTGAAGTTAACAGTATTAGTCGTATTGATGAGCTTTCTATCTTACTAATCTGCCTGAAAGTTAAATTTAGTGTACTTTAAAAACAAATTCAACTTATATTTTACAATATCTTAACTCAGGTGAGTGAATTATATGTACTGTTAAAATTAAAATATTAAAATAATAAATTGAGCTGATAGTCGTATCTTATTTATTATAAGTCTTGATTAAATCAGATGTGAATAGAAAAAATACTTATCAAAATTAAAATAATATAAAATTATAAATTCCAACGAATCTTTTAAACATCCGTGGAACTTGGTCCTTCGACAGAGATTAGGCCATGGTTGGCCATGTTATTGTGGTTGGTAACGTTATCATGGTAATTATGACAACTAGTTTAGACCGGAAAAACTAGCGAGGAACTAGTATTCTGAATTTCTGATCAATTTAATGTGCCGTCAGGAATTGAAATTTTCAAAAGAATTGGTAAAACAAAGTACTAATTAAAATTACATTGAATAAGACAAAAGAAAAATGATAATGTAGAATTTCATTGGTGAAAATTTTATATTTGCTGTTATATTGATAATTTTTTTCTTACGAAAAGCTATTAAATATACTATCTTCCTAAATTTTAAATTTAGCACTGTTAATTCTGTCTATATTTATTAAATATTTAATTTTAAAAATTTAAATAAATTTTAACTAGTTTAATATCTCATACAATGTGTCTATATTTTATTTTAAAATAAATATATATAATTTAATAATTACATTTTTATAAATATGAAACATAAGATGTAAAAATTGATAATTTATATTATTATAAAATCAATCAAATATAATACATTAATGAAAATAAAACAATTATGATGTATATCTAAAATAAATATAAATTACACATATATCATGTTAAAAAGATGTAAAGGTTAAAAAATATACTCATATAGAGAAATGTAAAAGATACCTTAATGTTGAAAATAAATCTATTATAATTAATTTAAAAAATTACAATAATGTATAGTATTTAATAATAATACAAATCATGTGAATAGAAAAAATAAATGAAAAAGGTAAATTTTGTAATTTCTAACAAATAAAATATTTTTTTTCATGAAATTAAAAGTTTGTAATTTCTAAAAATTTTGAATAAAACTTTGTTTAAGAGTTTGGAAAGAGAAAAAAAATTTGTATGAAAAAAATAGAGGAGAAGGAAAGATGAATGGAAGTGAATAAAAAAATCTTTAATATTAAAAAAACTTTAAAATTTAAAGTTAAGAAAATTTTAGAGAGTTTATAAAATCCCTTCCAATCTAAAATTTTTTAAACAATGGCTATGATTAAATAAGTATTTTCATTTTTTTAATTGTCTTCTAAAAATCAACTTTAAAACAAAGACGAAGACTTTACTATAAATAATAGATTAAGGATTATAAATTTTATAAACAAAAACATTAATATTCATGAGAAATTAGAAATGTAAACAGGATAATACAAAAAATTTATAAGTATAATATATATATATACAAATTTTGAAATTTTATATAAAATAATATTTTTATAAATAGGTATTCACTGAAAATTTAAAAATTTATATAAAATAACAATAAAAATTAAAAAGTAATTTTAATTTATAAAATTTAAAACAAATTAACAAAAAAAAATATTAGAACAAAATCTAATAATCTATTATTCTCAATTAGGGTTTAATTTCAAGACATATAGAGAATAATATTTATATTTATTATTATCATTCTAATAATAACATATTATTCTCACTTAAACAACTCAAGATATATACAAACAGACATTGAGAATGATTTAAATAAAAATATTTAATTAATTAATAAAAATAAAAATAAATATAAGTTATTATTATTATTATTATTATATATAAAAATAGTTGTACGATTATTAATTATTTATTAATATTAATTATTCATACGTTGCCAAGTTTATAACTCTTAAAATTTTAAATTAAAATTTAGTCAATAACTTTCTTTTATCAAACGAAAATGTTATTAATTCAAACGTTAAGTTTTATAATATTACATTAATAATTAAATATTCTATTTTTATAATTTAAACATTCGTAAACATACCATCTAACAATAACTACGTAGTTATATTTTAAATAATATGTATTATATGAAATAAAATAATATAACAAAATAATAAAGTAGGAGATTCTTCTTTAAATTCAGTAAATAAATGCGTATTAAATATTTTTAGTTACACAATTCAATAATAAATATAACTTTATATTTCTAATGACATATATTATTTTTAAATAAATTAAAATTATATAAAATTTTGTACAATTAATATATTTAAAAAATTTAACAATTTCATAAACAGAAATTAGTTATACTAAAAAGTTATTGAATATGTCATTTAATCTAATACGTCTCTCACACGTACAGCTATTTTCTCTGCTTTTGTTACAACGAAAGCAACGAAGGTATCATAGGAGAGGCTATGTGTATAACAAAGTGAGTGCTGCAAAGGGATCTAATTTCTTCCATCATATCCTCTGTGTCTCCCATGCCTTACTTAATTATCTTTTTTAACTCCTTGTTTGTTGTCATAAAGTCACAGCAAATCATTATTTTATTGATAACAGACATCATTTTATTATAATAATTTTATAATTTATTATTCTATTATATTTTTAACTATTTACTTTTAATTTTATAATGACCGGTTATAATTATATTTTATCTTTTAAAGTACATTTTTCTATTTTAGAGAAATTAAAAAGTCAATATATGAGATTGTAAAAATTTCTGTCAACAAATGATAAACTATAAAATTATTTAATTTTAATAATTATTTTTAATAAATAATTATAATTACATTTTTATCTTCTCTAGCATCTTCGCTGCATATTCACAATCAGTCAAGGACGAATGAGCACACGGTAAATACTATTTTTTTCATTAAATACAATGTATATTTAAAAATACGTTTAAATCTTTGTAAATAAGTTAAACAGAAACAGATATATTTTAATCATCGTCGTAAAACATTTAATCAGTCTAAATCAGAATTAATTCTGGACATATGAATACATGCGATAAATTATATTTTTGTATATTAAATTTAAAAATACAATTAAAATTTATTATACATTCATATATACTTCTAAAATTTCAGAGTATAATTACAACACCGTAAACCTACGTTAAAATAAATAAATTTTATAAAAGTAACTTATTTAAACTTAAATTTACAAGTATTAAACACAATAAATAAATTGTATTCTTTTAATTTTCTTTTATCCAAGTGCGGTGCTTCGCTAGTGTCTTGTATTAGTTGCTTCTGTTTTTCACAGAAACAGGCATAGGATAAGTGCGAGGAAAGAGAAAGTAGCTAAAAAAATATAAATTAAGTGATTAAAGTAAAATTGACTTGGAAAAGAAAGATTTATATAATAATGTGTTATGGCACAGAGATAAACAGAAAGGGATAATAAAAAGAAAAAGGAAGGAGTTACAATACAAGAGTGAGAGCAGGAAGGCACATAGAACGCAGTTGATAGTAAAATTAAAACAAAGGTCTGCGAGTGTCAGTGACACTTTTTACGCAATGTGCTGTAAGTATATGCGAGTGGGCTACACGCGCACACACAAGCAACTAGCACAGAAGTCAATGTTGTTGGCGGTGCGGTGCATGGGTTGTGTTTTGTTAGTTCATCCTCTCACACCTCACACCTCACACCTCACACCCACATTTGCTTAGCGTTACTGTGTTCTTTTTCTAATCCTACTTCGTCCTTGTTCCTTCACTTCACTCTACCTTTTTTTCCTTTTTCGTAATTCTATTTTCTTATGAAACATTTCACTCCGATTCCCCTCTCTCTCTCCGATTCATGCATTTTCCTCTTTCTTAACGACGATCCTGCGACATAACACCGCTTCTTTCTCCTAGGGTTTCCCTGAATCTAATCCCATGGCTATCAAAGGCGTCGATTTCAAGTGGTTCGTTTTATTCTCGCTCTCTCTCTCTCTCTAGGGTATGGGTCTGATTCGAAGACCACCTTGTGTTTAATCCCAATTTTGATTGAATGTAACTCAATCCTTGCAGGTACGATGGGTTTTTCTTGTCCATGCTCGCCACCAGCGTGTATCCTTTAACAATTCAGCTTCTGGATTTTCCCTAATTTTGCTGTCATTCTGCATTTTCAATTGCCTCGTTGCTTCTTCGTTCTGAGACCCTTTTTCTAACTTCATTCGAATCACTGTTGTGAAAAATGTTTGAATTTTAAACATTTAAAATAGTCGATAATTCTACTACCCAATATAAGCATTTTTTAAGCTCATAAGTCATTGTTTCAGCTCTATACTCCTTATTTATTTATGGAATGTGTGTGCATGTTTCTTTAACCATTTGACTTGTAGAGTTATTGTGGCAATTAATTGGAAACGGTACCATTCTTGTACTCACCCGTTGCACATATGGATCGTGGTGGGGTTTCCTTTCCTTATTTTAATATTCGTTTTAGATCGCTGTGTATTTCTATTTTTTTCTTTTTCGGTGTGATGAAGTTGCCCCCCAGAAATGATCCCTCTTCCTTTCTTTCACTGGTGTGTTTAGGTTGACTACACTACTGTGTTTGTTTTCCGGCTCTTAATGTTTGTTGATAATGGGCTAGCTGCGGGAATGGGTTTGTAAGGCCTTCCATCCTTAATCTTTTAATGTTATTGTTGACTGCTAATTAAAAAAATTTTGGGCTGTTTTCTTAGATTTACATTGGTTGTATGCATTAATAGAATTGAAATTAGAGCATGGTAGATGAGGTGTTTTCTATCACCCTAAACTAAACAGTCCCGGAGTTTCTAGGGTTTGTTTTCACTTAATTTCTCTTGGCTGTTGAGCATTTGAGTTCAAGATTATTTATGGTCATTTTGCTTTCATGGCTGACTTTTTTGATCTCATACTATTATCATACTAAACTTAAATGGTTTTTAATTTTTTGTGTTGTATCAAACAAATTAGATAAATGACGTTTTAACTTGTCAAATCCCACTAGGCCACTACTAATTAGTTGCTCTTTTATGCTCCCCTCTCCCTTTGTATGCTTCTAGAGATTTTGGGTGGCAGCAGAGATATGCTCGATTCTGTGGAAGAGTAGTTGTCCTTTCAATCCTTGCATTGCTTCTCTATCCATTTCTTTGGGCTTGGACAATAATTGGTACCCTGTGGTTCAGCAGTGCCAAGAATTGTGTATGTTTTATTCTTATTTAATCTTCACTGTACTCTTGTTAGCATGCTTTTGATGCACACTGCAAATAATTTTCTGCAGTTGCCTGAAGAGGGTCAGAAATGGGGCTTCCTCATCTGGTTACTTTTTAGCTACTGTGGACTCCTCTGCATTGCTTGCATGTCCTTGGGGAAGGTTAGTAGTTCTCTGTTACTTGTTTCTGCGTTAAAAATCTCTCTTTTTCTGCTTGTCATGGTTTTATTATTTCTGAACATCCTATCAGCAGGAAATATCTGCTGAGTACTATTCTCCTTCATTGTTTCTTATATAGGTTGGTGCTGTTCTCATTGTGGTTTGTTTAACTCTTTGCAGTGGTTGACACGAAGACAAGCACACTTATTGCGTGCTCAACAGGGTATCCCTGTATCCGAATATGGAGTAAGCTTTACCAATCACCATTACTCAACATATGTCACTGTGTTAGTTACATGTTTTGGGAAACTCCATCGTTTGATAGCATGATACTGCCGTTTGAAGTCTAATTAGAGTATTTCTAAACAACTTTCTGAATGACATGGACTAGGTTTTCCTTGTTTTTCCCCCTCTGGAAGGAAAGGGAGTAAGGGGACGGAGTTACAATATATTAAATTTTATCTTGAATTTGTAGTTAGTGCATGGCTGCATTCAATTACTTGTTAAGTTTGAAATAACACGTAATCTGACATGGTATTGAAGCTAGCTCATCAGGTGGTGCAATCTTTTCTGATAAATGTACTGAGTCCATGTTGCCTTGTTCTAATTTCAGACTTGTTTTGATTTTGTGAACCGTGTCAAAATTTTCATTTTATGAAGTTACCTAGTCTTAGCATTTATATATTGAATTGTGCTTTCTTTCACTGTCAGCTTTCTGGTTGGTTGTTCTGGTGGTTGTATTTGTATGACAATGTTCTAATTCTCGCCATTACTAGGACACAGTGCCTTGCATATGGTTGTAATATTATCTTCCACACCCTACCTTTTATATTTTTTTTTCCTTCCTAGAAAACTTGTATCAATAGGTGTCATGAGCTGAAATGAACACCAAGTATCCTACTACTTTTGTGGGATTCCCAGAAAGTTACATTTAAAAATAGTAACAACTCCACTTGTACTGGCATGTTCTTTCACCATTGGTCTATGGTAGTCTCTTCATTTCAAACACTTGTATGTACTGGATTGATTGACGTGTGAGCTGTAATCATATTATTAGCATTTAGCAAGCTGGATGTATATTTCTATTTGATTATCCATACTTTACTACTATTAGATGTTAACAATTACTATTTTCCTTTTGTTAGGTTCTGGTTGATATGATCCGAGTGCCTGATTGGGCATTTGAAGCTGCTGGTCAAGAAACAAGGGGCATGGGCCAAGACGCTGCTGCATATCATCCAGGACTTTATCTAACTCCAGCTCAGGTAGTTTTGGCTAATGTTTCTAGACCTGTGGATTTTGTATTAGAACTCATTTGAAGCAGAAAATCTTGTTATTCTTTGTCAAGCAGAGTGAACTTTATTGTCACTTGCATTAGCTAATGAATTATGTTTCTTGAATTTTCATGAATTGGTCATACTGTCTCTTATTTTTTTTTTTACAATTTGTTGGTTTATTATTATGTCATGCATTTATCTCTCCTATTGAAATTACTTTGGAATATTTATCGTCAGTTTCACTGCTGATACTTGGCTTTCTTTTCTGGGTTGGGTGCAGAGAGAAGCCGTTGAAGCTTTAATTCAGGAACTCCCAAAGTTCAGGTTAAAGGCTGTTCCCACTGATTGCAGTGAATGCCCCATCTGCTTAGAAGAGTTCCACGTAGGGAATGAGGTATACTTTTTTACCTAATTAAGGGTCTCAAGTAGGTCATATCATCTGCTGCTTGTTATTTATTACTGAAAAATGTGCTCCTTGTCTAACCTCACGGATTTTTGGAGCAGTGACTTCTTAAGAAAGAGGAGATGCAACGTGTATCATAATTTTTGCAACTGAAAATTAGTCTCAAATTTTACTTTAATGTAGGTCCGTGGCCTGCCTTGTGCTCATAATTTTCATGTTGAATGCATTGATGAGTGGCTTAGGCTGAATGTGAAATGTCCTCGGTGCCGTTGCTCGGTATTTCCAAACCTTGATCTTAGTGCTCTGTCCAATCTCCGTGCTGAGCCCGAAAGATCTTCTGCCAGTGTTGTGACAACAACCAGATATGTGAGAGGCCAACCATCTAGTCAAAGTTACCGGTTAAGATTACAGGGTCTTCTCCGTCCAGTCCGGTCTGAAATTTCAGGGCCAGTTGGCGACACTGATAATGCTCTGGAAAATGCTGAGAACGGTGCTGTACCAATTTTGACTCAAAATGCATCATATGGAGGCCATGACTTGTCTGTCGAACGCATGCCTGTTAGTCTTTCCTCTGCGCAAAGTTAGATTGCACTATTTCTGAACTTGTTATATTTCTAACCCATTCTAGAGAAGGTGAAGAGTGCATATCCATATCTGGCCATGGTGCCCCATTCTAACAAGAAATTTTCATGATTGATCCATAAAGAAATGGGTCAGTTTCTTGTCGGTGGTGGCATCTTGGGTAGTAGGACTTGGAAGATCTAAGTATACCTTTTTGTTTAACTAACGTAGATTAGAGCTGCAAATTTGTAATTGTCTTCTATGTTAACAAATTGTAAAGAGAGTTTAAAATTCTAATTATATGTTGAATTCTGCTTTTACCTTTTTCCTTCTTGGGATAAGATTTTTTTTCACTCTGTATTTTGGCAGAGGGGTGTAGGGCTATGAACATCAAAATAGAAATTATTTTTTGATCTTTATTTTTGGTATGGTGCTATGCACCTTTGTTTGGTGTCATTTCCGGATTAAATCTGATAAAATGAGGTGCAATTTAGAGACCGGAAGTCCTCAATTATAACTATCTTTTGGAAAATTATTAGAGTAGATTTTAATAATTTCAATGTGCATTTGTCTTTGATTTCACAATTTCAATCGTCAAATTCGGTTATGACTTTACATTTTTTTTATTGAATAAACTTGTGCTTATTGAGGATTTACTTTTACGTTGAATCAGTCATCAGTTTTTATGCGGGACATATTTTGTAGCGGGGATTAGATAGCTTCTTTATCGCCATGCCATCCTAAAAGTTGACTATAGGAATTTTAGCTTTTGAGCTTGGAGGTGATTATTTGACGTAAAACTGACATCCTTAAAATTGTGTTGGGAATGGAATTCGCCTTTTGGTAAAACATAATGAAAATAACGTAGACCTTTTTTAAGGAGGAATATGATGTGGACTTTGGTGAAGCTGGTGCTCTAAAAAAATTAGTTGGTTGTGGAGCCTCGGAGGGTGGGGGAGGTTGTATCAAACTTCAGCGTTAAAAAAAAGCTGGAATGCAAGCAAAGTTAAGCTATCTCGAAATAAACAACCACGGTTGGTGCAGTTTTCAACTATTCTGTGATAGTATTTTCATTCGGCTCATTTGAGGCGTTTTTTTTTCAACTTTGAACTCATATTTGTGCAAATAGTAACTTTAATACCTCTATCTCCGCACTTTGTGGATATCCAACGAAATATTCATATCTGAACTCATTGCTTACACTTCTATTAAAAATTGACTATGTTAAACAGTCAGCTGACGATGCTTCTCAGTGAACAAACTTAAAAATGAGTTCGAAGAAGTTAACCTTTTAAATTTTAACACCAAAAGATTAAGTCGTCGTAATAAAGTTTGAGTTGTAGAGCTAATTTTTTTAAGAGATATAAGTATAACATTTATTTAAAAATGAATATATTAAATATATGTGATAATAAAGCAGGGTGAGTAGTAAAATTTTTAGCTGCACTAACGAAGGTTAGTTCAAGTGGCAAACGGTTAGATATCACTTAAGAAAGGTTTTTCGTTCAAATTCTTGTGAATACAAAAACTTTTGATATCACTTAAGCAAAGTCTTGAGTTTAAATTTTTGTATATGTAAAAAATCTCTAATGGTAGATTTACCCACCACATACGCTATCAAGGTCGAATTCAAATTTAACAGGATGAAAAATAAAAAATAAAATAAAAAAATATTTCTGGCCGCACTTATTCTCATAAATTTTGCTATTAAATACTAATACCTATATTTAAATTTATTTAGTAAGTAAATTTTCTTTCCAATTATAATTTATAATGAATATTAATTAAGTCCAGGTTAGTCATCTCCACGTTAATTTTTTATCATCATGTTCACGTGGGTTGGTTGGTAGCCTACTCGAAAGATTCAGATGATCCCTCTGGAACAATAATACATATTAAGTTCAGGTAAGGGAATATTTGTTGGTTAGTTACAGCTCAAGGTTTGACCTTCCTGGTTTCTATTTTGTCTTTAGATAATCATTTCTATTTGCTACACAACAATTAATCACAAACTAAACATTCAATTTTGGTCGCAAGATTATTAGCGTCAATATTTTAGTATATGAAATTTTAAAATTTCTTCTACAAACATTTTTTTTCCATCAATCAATTCAATCTTGAAGTTGGACATTATTAAAATATAGATAAGCTGCAGAATATTAAAATATTATATTAAGTGATATATATAATTATATATATTTTTAAAAATTTTAAAACTTTTTATCTATCTATCTTTCTTTTCTTTATTCTTTCTTAATACTATTACTTTTAAAAATTACTTGACAAAAAATCACCATATCTGCTTCATTTTCTTCTTTTCTTGACCAACCTAATGTTAAAAAATAAAAATTTGTGATTAAAAAAATATTTTTTTATGGCTTTTATATCATTCTCATTTTTCTAACTTTAACTCTTTCCTCAATAAGATATTTTCTTTTTTTCCTTTGTCGCTATGTCTTTAAATAATCTATTGCTATAATTAGTAATTTCTAACAATTTTAAAGAAAAGTAAAGAATAATTGATAAATAAAATATTTTAAAAATTTTAAGAATTAAAATGAATAAAAAAAAACATATATCACACCATATATAATATCATTTTTATTATGTAATCTATCATATATATATATATATATCATGAAATTTTAACAAATTGATTGATAGAGAAAAATATAAAAAATTATTAAAAACATTTTAAAATCTCAAATATTAAAGTATTTGACCCTAATAATCTCAAATATTAAATTAAACATTTAGTCGGTAATGCCACCGTCTCCTCGCTTAGACTTTTTGAAAAAAAAGAGAGCTTCCCATACAAATTATATACACGTAATATTCATATTGTAAAATTAAATGAAATGATGCTTGTTTGTTTTGGCTTAGCAATACACAAGGGGAAAAAGAAGTCTTGTAATTTTTCAAAATAGATGTGGGCCTTGGGCTGATTTTGGGTTTTTCTCAAATCTGAAAGAAAAATCTTGTGATTCATGAGTAATTTACTTTTCAAAACAAAAATTAAATCGAGTGTGCTTATGCAAAACTTGAGTAAATAAACTGAATACAATATATAATGAATAGTGGAACATAATTTTTTAGGATAATTTGGGTTTTCTTTCAAGGGCATGCTTTTTTTTCTGCACGTCTTATATCATAGGAAATTTATTCAACGAGTAACCCTCCATCCATCCGAACCCGAGTTCAAGAGTGAATCTTGAATTGTGGCAGGAACATGAAGAGAAGGTTGAGGGAAATGATAAGATAAAGGAGCAATAGAGAGGGGATTAAAAGTGCATGTAAAAAAATTCTAGTTGTTTTTATTTACTTAAGTTTTCAAAATGATAGGACCGGGAGTATAATCTTGGAGTCTGGTTGCATACTTATTCATCTAAAAATCACTCTAAAAAATGTTCCCCTTGGGCCTTTGCAAAGTTTATTATGTTTTTCAAGACAATGAACTGATCCATGTGAGTATTCATCCTTCAGTCGAATTACAAGTTCAAGAGGGGATTTAGATATTTTTTTTATGGTGGTGAGATCGTTTATCCTTGTGTCAATTATGTTCTTTAGATGTTGATCAAAGAACTGTTTTCTGTAACGCTATAACCTCATGCATGCTGTCTTTTTCTCCCTCCTGATTCTGTAATGAATGGTTTTGAGAGGCTTTTCTCCCAAATAATTGTTTCTTCATATTCCTTTTCTCCCTCTCAAGTTTTGTTGTGCTATTCAACTGGTTGATACCACCAGAGTGAGCAATAGTTCCTGGATTCACTCTAATCTCTTTCTTCTAATGATATCTATAACATATTTTCAGATAGTTTTATCCTACTTGTGGCCGCTTGTAACACCCCTTGATCGTGCTTCAGAATTTGTAGTGAAATTTTAAAAGAAAAGAAGAGACAAATTTTTTATTAAGTTAAAGAAAGTTCTTTAATATTTATTAAATTAAATAAAAATTAAGATATTGAGTTTATACTTATGCATTATATTCATTTTATTTTTAAAAATTTATTGAAAAAAATAACCTTTTTTGTTAAAAAAAAAAAAACTTTACTCTGAAATATATCGGTGAGATGAGTTCAACATTTTCTCTTCTTTTTTCCATCCTCTTTCCTATCCTTTTGATTCTTGTGTACATCCACTTTCAAAATTTAAGTAATATCCTTTTTCAAATGCAGTTTTATGATCGATCAAATTTTTAAAATTAAAATATTTAGCACATCAAGTAATTATATATGCCAATTATTTTTAATTATAATGAATGCATGTTCTTCCTTATACCCACTTGACTTACTAGCATATTTGTGTTACATTCTTTCCTCTGCAGAGAGAGGAAATAATAGTAAAAGTTCTGTACTTACTATACTCTCTTCAAGAGGAAAGAATATGATTATGGAATCATAAGCTCGTAACGTGCCTCAAGATAAGCTTGGGAGAGAGAGATGCTTTTGAGGCCTCTGTGAGTAGATTCCTGTATAAACCTATATACGTGCTTTTGGTAGTGGGGAAAGTGTTGTAAGAAGTAAGACGAATTTCATCCCATAGGAAGTTGCTTTGCTTTGGATATTGTTTTGTTTAAATGAATGACATTAAAACGCATTGGAGGAACAGTTCCAATTAACGTTTGGTTGAAGTTTCTAAGGAATTTGTGCCTTTTTTACACTAAAGATAGCCCACTCTCGAAAGAAATGACTTTTCTCTGTCGTAAAAGCTTGTAGGGATTTAAACTGGACCCCCTTGGATTTCCTGCAATTATTTATCTTTCTAACTATCTTGTCTAATTTTAGTTATCTAAGAATCATAGACTCAATATATATACAACTTTTTAGTAAATTACTATTTTAATTCCTAATTTTATAATAATATTAGTTTCATCTACAATTTGAAAAAATATTTTAATTTTGAGTTGCTAAAAAATGTATCCCATTAGTCCATATTATTGGTAAACATTAGTATTACTTAACAAAAGTGTTTATATGTTAAATGTCAAATTAATATGTTAAGTACAAATTGAATTAGTATTGAAAATTAGATAATGAACATTAATAAAGATTTGAGATAAATAAAAAAAGAAAATGATTACTTTAAAATTTTGAAAGAGAAGTAAATTTTAATTGTTATCTTTTTAAAAGTTACACAATATTTTTTTAGAATATGATGTTATTTAATTTGTCAAATTAAAATTTAGCAGGTAAGATAAATAATTTTATTAATATTGATAATTATAAAAACTACTTTCGAAATAGATTCAAACAAATGGACCATTAAAATAATTTTTTTATTAAATTAAATATAAGCAAAAAATATTGTAAAAAGTGATATTTTACTTACAATTTTTTTTTGTAGTGAGGAACTGCTTTTCATGCAAATGTACAGCGGTCACTCATTTCCCTATTATTATTAATAATTGTTAAACCTCGTTATCATGAACTTCAATTTGAAGGAATATTAAAAAAGAAAGCTATTATTGAGGCATTGAAACCTTTTTTAAATGAGAAACACTAATGTCATAATCATTGTGGTCATAGACTTTTTTTATTTCTAGGTTTTACTTTTTATCCATTTTTAGGGCTTTTGCTAGCGGTTGCATTTTTTCAAAAGAAAAAAAAGTTAAAAGTTAAAAATACTGAATCATAAAATTTTTTAAAAAAATTAAACAATAATTCTTATATATCAAATGGCAATGAGGTAGGAATAATCTTATTTACATGATCAGTTATTTTTAATACTCTTATTTTACATGTACATACTTGTGTATGCATGCATATATGCGAGTGAAATAACATGTTTTGTGTAATTTAAATTTTAAAAAGTAATTATTTATTTTTTATAACACGTTCTTAATAAATTTGAAAAAAGTGATTAATTTTTAAAAATTAAATTAAACCATATAGGCCATATACCAAGTTAGCAGTTACTTATGACAAACGAATGTCTATTTTTTATTTTTTTTAAAAAAGTGAAGTTCCTTCTGTGGAGCTTAAGTAAGCTATAACTAGTCATCAGAAAAATAAAAGAAAGAAAAGAAAAGGTAAGTGTTAGAACAGAAACTCTAAATGCTAAGTAATCGTAAGTGCAGGCGTGAATTAAGTATGTGTTTGGATTGAATTATTTTAGTTTGATTATTTTAAAAAAAATATTGTTTAATCTTTACAATAATTTTTTATTAAAAAAATTTTAGACGAATAAAACTTTGAAATTTATAATTTAAAGCTATTAATTTTTTTTAATATTTTTATTTACATTTAGTAATTAATTATTTTTAATACAAAATAATATATTACACATACTTATATATATATTATTTATTTATAATTTTACCTTTAAAAAAATTATATATTGAAATATAATATTTTTAAAATTATTTTTTCTCAATGCATTTAAATATAAAACTATTTTATATAATTAATTATTAAAAATTTAAATTAATCCAAACAAGTTAAATCTGAATTTCAAATTTTCAATAGAGCAGAGTTGAGTTCAGTCTTCAGGTCTTCTTGTATCTCGCACTGAACCCACACTTTTTTTCTCTCTGCACTCCAAGAATAAAAGAGCATCACAGGTCGTACTTGAATACACGTGGCAAGATCGTGAGGGTCTTGAGAGATAGAGAACCTTATTGGAAGAATCGATCCACGTGGCATGGTCCTACACTGAAACCCACGAAGCTAAAAATCCCTAGTCCCCACGCTTCCTTTTTCACTTTCTCTCCACTTTCTCACCACCCAAACACTCCTCTTCTTTATTCCTCTTCCTTCTCCTCCTTTAAATTCCGCCACCTCACGCCCATAGCTTCCAACGCAGTGCCCTCCATGAAGAGCTCATCATCGAGGAACTCCGAGTCCTCAACTCAGTTTGACTCGCCTCACTCCCCTCTCCGATACCGATCTTCTCCGCTCTCCGATGGCGGCGACCCCTTTCATTCGCCGGAAAACTTCCCGGAAGGTGAGCACAGAGACAACTCCAGGGCCATCGTGATCCTCGAGACTTCCATGCAATATGCTCAAGTCGCACCCCCCGTACCCGAATCCGAGCACCGGAACCCGCCGGTGAATGAGCCGCCGACGATGACGGTTAACCGTGCTGCTACGCCGGAGACTCAGCCGGCTACGGTGGTGGGAGGCGGCGGGCAGGGGCGATTGAGGGAGGCGCCGGCGCCCACTCCGGCCTGGCCGAAAAGGGTGGTGATGGCGAAAAAGGTAGCATTAGGGTTCCGACTAAGCGAGGTGGTGTTGTGTTTGATTTCGTTTTCGGTTATGGCTGCTGATAAGACTCAAGGTTGGAGCGGTGACTCTTTCGATCGCTACAAGGAATACAGGTTTTCTTTTTTTAATTTTAAAAATATTTTAATTTTCCTATTGGGTTCGGATATCAGCTTACTATATGTCGGTTTTCAAATTTCATAATTTTGATTTGAAGTTCTATGTTTTGGTTGCTTGGGTGGTTGTTATTTGGGTCAACGCATTATCAATTATCATAATTTCATTGAAACTAATGCTTGCTTTGCTGGAGGTTACTTTATTGGAATTCGGAATTGGTCTTGTGTCCTCTTCTGTGTATTGTAACAATGAATGATGATGGTAAAGCTTTTTGATATGTCAGGTATTGTTTGTCTGTGAATGTTATCGCATTCGCATACGCAGCGTTTCAAGCCTGTGATTTGGCTTATCAGCTAGTCACGGGGAGACAGATAATCAAACACCACACGCGTCATCACTTTGATTTCTTCATGGATCAGGCAAGTCATAGAGCACTCTCTCTGTTCAATTTTTCCTCTTTGCGTGAAAAGCTTTTAATTTCTATATATATATATTAGCCTCCACGTTTGAGTTCATTTCGTTGCCAGAATGATAGAGCTTTGAAAGTATTTATGAAAATATTTATGGCTTTTATGAGCTTGTTTAATTTATTCTAATAAATTTTATGATCATAAAACTTCATATGTTAAGAGTTTGTTAAATAAGTGATTAATTAAGTTATTTATTCAAACGTATCTTAAATGAATCTTTACTAATTTTCATGACATTAATATGTATATTTGTTGATAAATTGATGGGCAGGTGCTGGCATACCTTCTGATATCGGCAGCTTCATCTGCAGCCACGAGGGTTGATGACTGGCAATCAAATTGGGGAAAGGATGACTTCACAGAGATGGCCAGTGCTTCTATTGCAATGGCCTTCCTTGCTTTTATCGCATTTGCTATTAGTTCACTAATCTCTGGCTACAACCTCTGCACTCTGTACTCATAGCAACATTTTTACCTTATATACGTTTTCTTTGTATACGTGTTACACCTTTTTCTTTTATTCCTTTATTCTTGCTGCTGTAGAGGAATGCATTTAAGAGGGCGTTGGTGCCACTGAATTTTTTTACTGTACAGATACTTGTATACGTACAATCGCAGTCTCAAATTGGAAGGTGGAAAAGGAGAATTTTTGTTCGCTTTAAATTACACTCGTTTATATTTAATGTTCTTGCGTGAAAATCGTTTTACATATCACAGGTTCTCTTCTAATTACTAATTACAAGTACTGCAAATCCATAACGAGGTCAGAGTTTTTTTCCCTTTTGTCCCATACATGTGGAAACCAGAAACAAAGCAAGCACGAAGAAAAAGCATTGCTATTTGCTAAACGAAAAGGTGCCAGGAAATCAGATGGTCAAGATTTCAGGATTTGCCAATTGTTATGATTTAATTTGGATCCTTTCATATTTATAAGTAACATGATATGGTGATAAAGATATATTTTTTTTAACTACTTTAGTTAGTGAAACAAAGCCAGTCCTTATTTGATAAAAAATGTATTTTTTTCTTCTTCTTTTAGGATGGCTATATTTTTACTTATTAATGAAAGGATCTAAATTTGTTATGCTGATACTGCTTTACTGTTTCAATTTGGAATTTGGACGGAGCATTTCAGAATTTGAGAGAATTGAAGGACGGAGGAATTCGTTCGCAACATTCCTTGTTTGGATAATTTATTTCTCCTTCCGTAGGCCTGTTCATTGTTTTTATTGCTCCTTTGTATAGGTAAAGGTTTCTCAAATAGTATTATTACCTTAGCAATGGTCGACATCATTCACTGTTGTTCTAACTTTCAACATTTGCTCAAACGGCATTGAGCAAATGCACCCTTATAAAAATTAATAAATCGTAGATGTCCTAGAAATCACTTCTCCATCTACCATTTTCTCAAACAGAACGTGTAATACTCAAATTTCCCAAGCTTTGAATACATACGGAACATGCTGGGAACAAACATGATTAACCTATAGGATTGTTTCCTATGATGCATCAATTGCAAAGGGTAGCAACATTTTAGTATGCAAGTTATGGACTGCGAGCATCGAAGGCAGGAAAGAAGTGTGAACAAAATAGAGAGAGAAGTCAGAGAACAATGAACATGAGAGTAAGGTGGATCGATCTTGGTTGATAGGGGGAGAAGGAATTTTCGTAATTTCAAATTTCTTACACATTCTCAGAGTTCAAAACACTCACCTAAATGACTCAATAGTTAAAACTTATTGTAAAATAACTAAAAAGCCTTCATCACAAAAACTTTTAAATACCTTGACAAGTTACACTCTTCTATTCTTAATTCTTTATCGAAATACAAAACAAGACAATTCGAAAAGTACTAAGAGTAGCATGGTGATATTACTGTGCATAATGCCAAAGTTAGAATGATTTAATTTTTTTTAATTAATTAGATTGCAGATATCGTTCATAATTGTGTTTGAGCTGGTATCACTGTTATAAGTAAGAAAACTCTTTCTTTGTGCATCTAATACAATTACATTCCTTAAGGCTGAAATTTAAGATTACAAATTAAACTAGAACAAATTTTTACTAGTTTAGATGATTTAATTGTGATGAATAAATAAATTTTGAATTTTTTATCTATTCAAAAAGATAATAATAATAATAATAATAATAATAATAATAATAATAATAATAATAATAATAATAACTAGATTTAATTTTTGAGCTATGTAAGGATATATAAAAGTAATTAAATTATAATAATTAATTATAAAAATATAATTTTATTGTTAATTAAATTTAAAAAATATATTTAATCAATAATTTATAAATTTAATTAAATTTTATTGACAGGATAAAATATTCTTATATTATTATCTAGTCACAGATTATTATATTAGCAAATGAATATTTTATAATAATTATTTTAAAAGCTATATTTATTATATGTTTTAATTGAATTGTAGTGTAAAAAAATTATATTAATAAAACATCAAATTATACTCATAAATTATTTAATATTTAATTCTTAAAATGCTCATGAAGTTAATTTTATAATTGAAAAATACATTAACTATATATGAAATAAATATATTTAAAATATTTAAAGGACTATCTTCATACAAATATAAATAAAAATTAATTTATGTTATATTTAAGGAAATATATAATAAAATATTGTAATTATTGATTTAACAAAACATTTTTATATTATAGTAAACAAATTAATTTTACTATCATAAATAAACATTTTATTATTTTATTTCAATATGTTACGTTTATACGTAGGATAATTGAATTGCAATTGAAGAGAAAGAAAATATAAAGAAGTAGACAAAATAATCAAAATTAAAATTCAATTTTATAAATCGATGATCGGATATAAAAACTTGTTTATATATACATATAGAGAGAGAGAGAGAGAGATTAAATTTGCTGATCAACGGAGAGAACAGAAAAAAAGTTTCAAAAACCCAGTCAACGCATCAAGAATGAACAAGTTTGCCGAATATTAATGTAAGTCGTGTCTCAAACCCTTACAACCACATGTCACTATAAATGTATTGCTATAAATAATTAGGTATTATTCATTATCCAAAAATGAAATGATACATCTTATTTGGACACAGTATTCCACAAATTTGTTCAAAACAATGCATTTTATAATTTTTGTTCCCTTTTATAGGGATTTCGTATTTGTGAGTTTTGTCATGTATGGTAAGAGCAAAAAATCTTTAATATTTAAAAAACAATGTAAGCTCTCAAATTGTATTAAATTAATTCATTAATATTTAATATAATGAATAACTCTATACCAAAAAATAAGAAAGGTTCCAGAGAGGTTTCTTCCATCTTTGGACGTTGCAATGCATTTTTGTTCTCTTTCCTAGAGTCACTGTAACTTTCTCTAAGAGTCATCAAGAATATTCCCCCCCCCCCCCCCCAAAAAAAAAGTTATAATTTGTTTTTAAAAATATTTTTTAAAATTATTTGTTAACATAAAATTTATTTTTATTAAAAAACAATTGTTAAAATTTATTTTAAAAATCAAAACAAAAACAAATAAGCCCTAATGTATCTCTACCCTTGCTAGTAGATGTCGTTGGTAAAACGATTTTTCTTTCTCTTCTTTACATTCTTTATGATGTTTTTGCGTTGAAAACTCTAGAAATGTATGTATGCATGCATGCCCGAGTGAAGTATATTTTTGGATTAACTTGACAAAAAAATTAATATATTTGTTGCGTTTGTTAAAAGGATTTTTTTTAAATTTTATTTAATCAAGTGAATAAAAAAAAAATACTTGTAGTTAATTTAACGCATTTTATAATTTTAATTTAATTTATTGATTGAATAATCAACATATTATAATCATACATTAAGGAATGACATAAAAAACACATGAATTTGGCAAAGTTTTTGAACCATTTTTTTTTTTAACTTGGGGGTGTGAAAAATTGGGTTTGGTGCCAATAGTTAGATATATTAATTATGTGAGTTATATTTTAAAAATTTTAGACCAATTATATTTTAGCTTAACAGCCATAAAATTGGATGGCTTAATTTCTTATGTTTTAAAATTATTTGGACCTTCTCTATTTAGACTAATTTTGTTTATATCAAATTGATTTGCATGTTAAAAAGGTAAAAAAAAATAAAAATAAAAGGTTTGAAAGAAAGACGTTTGTGATGAGTTTTATTATATCAAACATTAATAGACAATATATTATTATAAGAATGTAATGATGCTACAAAATGATAATTTGATATACATATTGTATTTGTAGTGATATAAATTCTAATTATTATATTATCATCTGGTTTAAAAGAAAAATTAAAATAAAAGTGGGTTAGCTTTCTTTCTTTTTCCCTTTTTTTAGGTGAGACGGCAAGCCTTCTTAGCTTGTAACTTCAAGTTGAGCAACAATTATCAGCCACAACTTAATTGGTACATCTCACAAAGCACATGGGCTCATGGTGGGCTTATTTGAATCGCTTAACAAGCCCAAGTTGACACTTGTAATTTGATTGACAATGCAATTTTGGTTTGAGTTTGAAGATTTTCAAATCATGATTTAGGCAAAAATAAGTTGTTGTTGTTATTATTATTATTATTGTAATTAATGCATATTTCTTGGTTTAGCCTTTTGTAGTATTTTTTTAAGTTATTTTTTGTTGTTATTATTATTATTAATAGTATTTTAAATATAATTATGACTATGTGAACCAACTTGCATAAATTTATTACTTATATCGATTAGGTTGAATAATTCAAATTTACACGTACATGAGTACAGATCAACTTACTCCTCTACTAAGTTTGCATCAGATCGAGGGTTAAGGAGTTGAAACAGTAAGTTAGTATATTAACCTATCAAGATAAGGCTTCTCTAGAATGAGTTTATTTATAACATAAAAATGTTAGAGTTATTTATTATTTATTTATTTTTAATTCATAAAGATTCAAAAGCAAATAATTTCATATTTTTTATTCATAAATAAACTTAGATGAGTTCTTTTTCCAACTTCTCACATATTATTTTGCTTTCATAGGTAGCACAAAGTGTATAACTACAAAGATATATGCGATAAATTTCAGCCATTTGATTCTAATCAACGGACGAAGAACTTTGTTGCATCCTATTGTAATTTTTGAAATAGTTCGTTTAATATTTTGTAAAATATGTATTATATATATTAAATAATAATTAATATAATGTCAAAATAAATAAAATAAAAATTGATTGTATATGCATAAGTATTAAAATAATATTTATCATAAAAAAACAGCATAAAATTAATTAAAGTGATTTAAGCACGTGAAAAATTTATTAAAAAAGACACTAATAAAAAAATGAATGGCATAATTTTTAATTTAATAAAAAATTAAAAGCTTTAAAATAATTTAAAAAAATATTTAACAATAAATCATATTTTAGATAATTTAATTTTCAACCAAATTCAATAACATTACGTTGATACAGTCAATTTCTTCCGCGAAGATAAAATTTTGTAAGTGTTGTTATTATGATTAAGAGCATTTAAAAACTTAAAACATAAGAAAATTTAAAATTATTTATAAATGAAATCCTTTGTTGCAAGTAGAATTATAGATTTCAATGATTTAAAACTTAGTTTAATTATGCTTTAGTTTTAACTTGCAGCCAAACTTAGTTTAATTATTCTGTACCGCCCCAAACCCCCCTTTAATTATTGATTTTCTTCTGCCAATCATGTTTGGACACATGCCCTCTTCTCTTATCCAAATTTACTAGTTAC